TAGGCTGGCCTCCTTCCATATCTGTCTAGCTGGTAGGCTGGCCTCCTTTCATATCTGTCTGGCTGGTTTCCTTCTATCTATGACTGGCTGGTAGGCTGGCCTCCTTTCATATCTGTCTGGCTGATAGGCTGGCCTCCTTTCATATCTGACTGGCCGGTAGGCTGGCTTCTTTCCATAGCTGGTAGACTGGCCTCCTTTCATATCTGGATGGCTGATAGGCTGGCCTCCTTTCATATCTGACTGGCCGGTAGGCTGGCTTCTTTCCATAGCTGGTAGGCTGGCCTCCTTTCATATCTGGATGGCTGATAGGCTGGCCTCCTTTCATATCTCGCTGGCCGGTAGGCTGGCTTCTTTCCATAGCTGGTAGGCTGGCCTCCTTTCATATCTGGCTGGCTGATAGGCTGGCCTCCTTTCATATCTGTCTGGCTGGTAGGCTGGCCTCCTTTCATATCTGGCTGGCCGGTAGGCTGGCTTCTTTCCATAGCTGGTAGGCTGGCCTCCTTTCATATCTGTCTAGCTGGTAGGCTGGCCTCCTTTCATATCTGGCTGGCTGATAGGCTGGCCTCCTTTCATATCTGACTGGCCGGTAGGCTGGCTTAATTCTTTCCATAACTGGTAGGCTGGCCTCCTTTCATATCTGGCTGGCTGATAGGCTGGCCTCCTTCCATATCTGTCTAGCTGGTAGGCTGGCTTCTTCTATACCTTCTCTGTGATCTCTGAATCTTTATTCCTCTCAATGTCTTGTAAAATTGGTTTCATTATTTATTACATCTATATTTGCGAACTTGCAATTCATACCCAAGTTTAGTTATATACACTGTGCTTCCGACTCTTTCCGGTATTGCCTCATTGGACTGCCTGGATTATGAGTTTGCAGTCTATTGCTATTTTATTTCGTTAAAGTTATTATAATGTTACCCTGCTCAGTAGGCCTATTAAGCTAACAAATATATTTAAATTTCGCAATATACTCTTGCTAACTTACTCAACCCGTGCTATCGTTGACCGAGGATGGGGTAATTAATGTATATTTCCTCGTCCACATATCGTGTACTTTGCACGGCTGTTCTTTGAATTGTGTGGTGACGCGAGAAAGATACCCACGTCACGTGACGCGAGGCACGCGCTGCGATTGTTAGTCCTTCTATACAAATCTGTTTAACAACAATGATCAGACAGGACCAGTTTATCTCAGTAGCATCCAATTAACACATTTAGTAACTGACCACAGGTCGCTAGATGTTAAACCTGTATTTTAAATAACACCGCACGACGCATGTCAACTAGGTGTGAATTTGTGTGTAGTGGGTGTCGTCGAAGATTGTTGAGGCGCGTGCCACTCCTCGTATATTTATAAGGAAGGAGGAATTAGAAGAGGAAGTGGTGAGGAGGAGAAAGGTAGTAAAATAAGAGAGAAGGTGGGGAGAGGGAGGTGATGAAGAAGGCGGTAGAGGAGGTAGATGAGGAAGTAAAAAGGTGGTGGAGACAGAAATGAGGTGGGAAGAATGTAAGTGGTAAAAGAGGGGGAGAGGTGGAGGATGATGGATGTTGAGATAGGGCGAAGAAGCATAAATGATTGTGTTGGTGGGGAGGAGGTAAAGGTGGATCTAGGGAGGGAGTATGAAAGAAGGCAGTTAAAAAGGAGATAATAGGAAACGATGAGTGAAAGTCGGGGGAGGGTGGAGAAGGTAGAGGAGGAAGGGAGAAAGTGGTAGGAGGTGGTGGAAGATCTCGTCAATCTTGCCAATATAATATCATATGGCATTTTGCAGGTACTCTTTGATCACTTTCCGCGACAATGTAGGCTGCAAGATGACTTCAGGGCAGAAGCTGCACACATGCTCGAATTGGGGGTTAACAAAAGTTACAAATCAGCCACGGGACATATTGTTTCATTGAGAGACATCCACAACCTCTGTATATCACAGCAAATGAAAATATATCTCAAAACAAAAAACGTGGTTATTCTTTTGTAAAGCAGTGAAGATGCACGAGTTTAATATCTTCATGTATTCATCTTCTAATCAGAACAGTTTACAAAACAC